CTCTCTCTCTCTCTCTCTCTCTCTCTCTCTCTCTCTCTCTCTCTCTCTCTCTCTCTCTCTCTCTCTCTCTCTCTCTCTTCTTCCTGTGATCTTTTTCACCGCCCCTTTTCTGCTTGCCGAGGGCTTGTCTGAACCAGCCATCAGTCTCTACCAGAACACTATCGTCTCTGCCTTGTCCGAGTTCCACGAACCTGGTCTACTTTCTGACCCCAATTCCTACTCATTCATTCAACCTCAGAAAAAGTGTGCCCGGCTTGAGCCTCATTGATCGTTTCCAACGTGAATCCCCCCCCCCTGCTACCCCTCCCCTCGCCCTCCCCTCCCCCTCCCAAGAGAGAGAAAAGGATGAGAACCAGTCCTTACCCGCTTGAAGACAGAAAACTGAAACTTGGAAGTCCGAATGAGCCGAAGATTCCGCATGGTGATCAAGAGCATTAACGTAAAGATGGTCTGGCCCAAAACCAATGTGAAGGGGTAACGAAAATTGTACACCTTAAATATTGCCTTGTTTATAAAGACGCTTGCCACCGACATTCCACCTGACGTCAACAACAAATACCGATGGAGTCGCAGAGGAACAGCCCACACACAGCCAGTCAGAACAACGCTGGCCTCCGGACCACGGACGGCAGAGCATCCGGGCAATGGTCAGGACGTCCGGATGGCAGCCATCATGTATACCAACAAATGAGGAGATGCAGAACAAGGAGGAGGAGGAGGAGGAGGAGGAGGAGAGGTGGTGATGGTCAAATTTCACTAAAGCAAGGCGCAGAAAGGAGGAGGGACGAATGAGGAGATGCAGGGTGTGACGGCAAGAGGCTGGAATATAGGCAAAATTGAAAAATATGGATAGAGTTTGATTGCCAAAACTCAAGGTTTCTATACGCTTTTCCTAGATCTTAATATAAAAATTCCTCAAAAAAAAAAAAAAAAGTTCCGAAACGTGAAAAGAAAGGTCTAGTAAAAATATAAGGGTGAACAGGACAGTTAAAATACAGAACATCCAGCGGCCTAACTCAGTTGGTAAGGCTCGCAAGTGGCATTCAGTATGTCGTGGGTTCAATCCCCATTGGGCTCATGTACCCCTTCCTCCTGGGCATGCTTGGCGCCCGCCACCTAGACATATAGACCACTGGATCCCTCAATCGGAATTGAGCAGAGTCTGCTGTTGTTCGTAGAGGGGGGGGGGGACCACCACCTGAGGGGAGGCAAAGGGATTGGTCCTGTTGGCATGGTCCCTGATGCTACCGGTTGTCCCCTTCCCCTAGCTGGTATCACCCACCTGCAGGTCGGGAGCAGCCCCCGCATGTTCTCTTGTGAACACGGTTCTCGCTGCTACGGGGTTCCCCGTATGCCCTACAATTAGTAGTAGTGATAGTTAGGTAGTCTGAGGTGAAATTGAGAGCAGAATGTAGCTTTAAAATAAAATAAAAAAATACAGAGCAAAACTTGTATACAAACAAAACTAATTACGAAAATTCCAAGTACACAGGACCAAGCCATATACGTTAGTTCTGTACCGGAACCTGGTTCAGGCACTGGACACATCCGGAGGACCAGGCCCTCTAGATTGGTGCTGGATCAGGCCCTGGACCAATCTAGTCGATAAAACCCATTGAGTGGTGCAATATCAGCCACTGGACCATGCCAGTGGACCAGGTCTGTACGCTGCATTGGTGCTGGATCAGTCCCCGACTCAAGCCCTGGACCAGGCCAGCTGGCCCAGCCCTGTAGGTTGGTGCTGGACCAGGGCCGTGGGTCAGGCCTTGGATCAGCCCCCGAAGGTTGCTTGGAATTTTTCTATTCTGCTTGGAATGAGGCCCTCCACCTCCTGTTGGTTGTTGGTGCTGGACCAGGGTCGCGGGTCAGGCCTTGGATCAGCCCCTGGAGGTTGCTTGCTTGGAATTTTTGTATTCTGCTTGGAATGAGGCCCTGGATCAGACCATGGACTATGCCAGTGGACCAGGTCTGTATGGTGGTCCCGGAAGAGCCCCTGCCTGAATCAGGATCTGGACCAGGGCAGTGGACAAGGCCCTATAGGGTGATGCCTTCAACCCAGCAGCATGGCTAACATGGGCCCAATTTTGACTCCTCGTTCCCACGGCCAACAGCTCAACCACTACCCTCTTCCCCAAAACTTTAACGCATATGCGTTGTAAACGAATACAACGCATAGGGTCCGTTCTATTCGAATACAACGCATGTGTTCCATTCGAATAGCTTTGAATTATTCAAATACAACGCATATGCGTTCTACTCGATTTTTTGTTAAATTCGAAAACTCGAATACAACGCACATGCGTTATGTTCGGGGGAAGAAGGTAGCTCACATCGGCCCAAGTTCCATTCCACGTTCCCATGTCGAACAGTTAAGCCACCAGCTCACATGGTCCCAAGTTTAAGCCTCCGTCGAGGAAGCTACCTCCCCAAGCTCCCAAGCCTACAACTGTGCCTTTCCAAAGTAAAGTGGCCTGCCCTTTTCTCTACAGGCCCAGGCCCGAATCGAGATGCTCTTACCGCTTAAACTGGTAAGAGCAGTATGCTGCTTCAAGTGAACTGGTGCTTTAAGGGGAAGAAAACAAATATATATATATATAGTCAAACAGAGCTGCCCGGTAAACCGTAGGCAGAGAGAGAGAGAGAGGAGGACAACAAACGAGGGGCTGTGGCAAACTGTTTCGTCAGAGTTTCACCGACTCATCAGGAGGCTGAACCCTCAACAGTCTGCAGAATCCCCTAACTGATTACACTGTAAGTGATAATCCACCTTAACCCCGGCTGTGGTTAAGCATCCAACCACTGCCCGACAACTGATACCCTCCTGAGGTGGTGGGGACCACCAACCACTGCCCTCAAGGTACCTGTGGCAAAAGTCAAAGCAGAGTATCACTCACCCACACCAGATGGAAAACTCTACAGACTGTCGGTTCACACCCCATCACAAGCAAGCAAAACATTCCCGAAATACTGTCTTACCCCTCCTCGTAGCATTCGTCCTTTCCCCTCCATAATTTAATTTTCGTTTTTTTTTTTAATTATTTTCCTCCAAAACTTATTTCCCCTCAAAATTTCCAATCTCTATCCCATCGTAAACTTCAATTTCTTTCCCATCAAAAATTTCACCTTCAAAATTTTCGATTTCTTTCCCCCCAAAATTTTCAATTTGTTTCCCCTCTAAACATTCAATTTCTTTCCCCTCGTAATTTTCAATTTCTTTCTACTAAAAAAATAATAAATTTCTTTCCCATTCCCACCAAAAAAAATCACCTTCAAATTTCGATTTCCTTCCCCTCAATTTTTTTCCCTTAAAAGAAAACAAACCGCTCAAGATTTTTGATTTGTTTCCCTCAAAACATTCAATTTCTTTGCTTCTGAAAATTCATTTTCTATCCCGTCAAATTTTTGCATTTCTATCCGGTGAAAATTTTCATGCGGATCAAAAATTTAACTTCCAAAATTTTCGATTTCTTTCCCCTCCAAATTTTCAAATTGTTTCCCCTCAAAATATTAAATTTCCTTCCCTCAAAGAGTTCAATTTCTTTTCCCTCAAAAACTTCAATCGCTTTCACATAAAAATTTTCAATTTCTTTCCCATCAAAAATTTCACCTGCAAGACTTTCGTTTTTTTCCCGCTCAAAGATTTCAATTTGTTTACCCTAAAAAAGTTATATTTCCTTCCCTCGAAAAAGAATCGATTTATTTTCCCTCAAAATTTTCAATTTGCTTCCTCAAACAAATTCTGCTCTCTTGTAGTATCTGTGCATGTTGCACCGCTTTCCTTCGTTCAAAAAGCAACATGAACAGAGCAACGAGGGGAAAATTTTCCCAAGTTTTTTTTTAACGAAAAATTTCCTTTAAACCACCACTACCTTTCCCATATGTCGGCCGCAGCCATCTAGTAGCCTACTCCTGAAAAATAGCCGCCACGCCGCCGTCGATATTTTACATCGACGGCGCGTGGCGGCCGAATTTGAATTTGAGGCCCGCGGCCCCACATATGAGAAAGGTAGTGGTGGTTTAAGGGGGAAAAAAAGGGGAAATTTTCCCCACGTTCAGAAAAAAGCATGTGTAAGTGAGGGGGAAGTTTTCACAAATTCAAAGAAAAAAGGAAAAACGTTCAAGTTTTTGCCCGCAAAGACAGGAAACATAAAAAAAAGAGAAATAGGGGGCTTGGGGGCGGGGACACAAGAGAAAGGAGGTGGGGGGGGAAAGAAAAGGAAAAGGGCGTTGGTCACGTGGCAAGGACTCAGGAAAGTCTGCAAAAGAAATACACAGGTTGAAGAAAAAAATCTTCAACAATTAATTTAATAAATAATTTCATTTTAATTTACTTACCGTCTAGGCTACCAGCCAGGCCGCCCGGGTCACCCTATTTTCCCGGGCGGCCTGGCCGTGCAAAGACTTGGCTTCGTCCCAGCCCCCCAAAAAAAAAACGAGATAAAAAAAATCCGAAAATTTAAAATTAATCAGTTAATAGCATAGTAACTATGTTATGCAGAAAAATAAACTGAACAACTTTTGCCTCAGGGTTACATCGAAATTCTTTACCAAATTCAAAATAAAATTTTAAAATTAAATTAAAAAATCATTTTCATTTTTTTATTTCTTTTTGGCCCGGCCGGGCAAGTGGACCCGGGCCACTCTGGTAGCCTAGCTTACCGTAGAATGCCGCTATGGTGAGGCCCTTGAAATTCTTCATTTTGGCCTTCATTTTCGCTAGCTGACTGTTGCTGTTCAGGAGCAAATTCACAAAAGAAGCAGAGGCCGGTAAACACCCATGCATGCACACGCACAACACAAACACACACACACACAAACAAGCTGACTGTTGCTGTTCAGGAGCAAATTCACAAAAGAAGCAGAGGCCGGTAAACACCCATGCATGCACACGCACAACACAAACACACACACACACAAACACGAACACACACATATGGCCTCGCTCCACTACTCACCAAATGTGCAAAATGAGAATGAATCTTCAGCTAGAACATGGGAAGATGCACCACCATATTTTTTGTCTTCTGTGCACGTGGTGAGTACTGCAGCGAGGTCCATATACAGATACAAAGAGTCTCTGCTTTTCCTCTTCGTCCATCCCTGCTTATCCTACTCATCCCA